TGTTTCTCCCTCTCCCAACTTTTTTTCCTTCTTAAAAATGTTATCACAGAGGCGTTACCACAATCGCTGACTGGCTCGGCCTTGGCCGGCGGCGGGTCCGTCTTAGAGCCAGCTGGTATGGGCTCTCTCGAACACAGGGGAAGCTTCCAGCAGCTTCTTACAGAAGCCACCCCTGTAACCCCCCCACTACCAAAACCTTGCCACACAAAACCATTACAGCGCTCCTACTTTTTGTAGTTGCTGGCTGAGCTCTTGGACCAGTGGTGAACAGAACTGTAATGCAGCTGGCTGCTCAGAGGTGTTTCTGGGCAGCTGTCCTGCATGCTGCATGAGAGAGAGGGGGACGGTTCAGAGCTTCCAGAGATTTTACTGTTGGGCACAGCAAGGGCTTGTCTGGCAGGGGCAGCCACTTCTGTGCAATGTGTTTTCTAAGCATGACAATACCAGCTGCTTGTCCTCCCCTCACCTTAGACAAATAAATCAAACCCACATTGATATTTCTACCCCATACTGGAGATGCCCAAGACTTCTCTAACTGTGCAGGGGGGCCGTAGCAAAGAATAGCGGAAAGACTCTGGCACTATAACCCTGTGCGGTATTTTTCCTCATGGCTGAAGCGGTTGCCGGCCTGGACTGAGGCCCCAGGCTGGTGTGCAGCAGGAGGCCCTCGCAGCCAAACAGCCGTTGCAGCAGCATGGCTCAGGGGGAGAACAGATGTTGAGCTGCATGAGAGCGAGGACTTGCATTAATGGCTTTCGTGTATAGTGCTTTGAACGGGGCACAATTAACGTTGAGATAATTACAAGCAATGCTAAGTCACTTCCTCGGGAGTGCTACAACAGCCTTGCTTGTAAGGCAATACGTCAGACAGATAGTTTTGACTAAATATTCATCTTTAGTCTGAATTCACCTGAATTCTGCTTTAAGGACTGGGTGGTTGCCTGTCTCACTTGCCCCAGCACTGAGAGCGGGTACACCTCATGTTTTCTGCCTAGTCATTTCTTTTGTTCCAGTCTTTTCCCTGCCTTCTCCTTTTCCTTCTCTTTCCTACCTCACTGTTCTCTGATCTTACGTTCCCCACTTCTGATTTCATGTATACATGTTCTGGTGAGAATAAGCAATATCATAGCCTGAGCTGTTCAGCATAGAACTGGCTGAAGGGCAGGGCTTAAAGGTTTATGGTGAATTGACTACAACTGGCTGGTGACACTACTGGTCATCAGTATGTGTTCCTCAGGGCTCAATTCTAGGGCCAGTTCTGTCCAATCTATTTATCAATGACCTGGATGCAGGAGTTGAATGCACTATTAGTAACTTGGCTGATGATACCAAACTGGGAGGTGCTGTTGACAAGAGGCCTTGGGGGGGGGGGTCTGGATAGATTGGAGCATTGGGCAATGACTAACAGGATGAAATTTAACAAGAATAAATGCCGGATCCTGCACCTGGGACGGAGTAACACTGGACAAAAGTACAGACTGGGAGAGGTGTGGCTGGAGAGCAGCCCTGCAGAAAGGGATCTGGGGGGGGCTGGTCAGTAGCAGGCTCAATACGCGTCAGCAGTGTCCCCTGACAGCCAAGAGGGCAAACCCTGTCCTGGGGTGCATCAAACACAGTGTAACTGGCCAGTCAAAAGAGGTGATTATCCTGCTGTATTCAGCATT